GCGCGCTCTGATGGGCGAGCTCGTGTCGATAACGCAGAAGCTGCCGCGGCACGTGCAGAGCAGCATCGAGGCCGTCGTGATCGCCACCACCAACCTGGCGGCTGCGGCGCCGGGGCAGGCCGCCTCTGCCGACGCCAGCCTGCTGTCCACGTGGCGCGCCGCCAAGCAGGCGGGCGGCGCCGCGGCGCGCTACGACGCCGACGCGGGCGCCGGCGGCAGCGGGCTGAGCGGGCGCGGCCTGCAGCTGCTGGCGCGGCTGGCGCCGGGGCAGGCGCGGGGGCTGGCGCGGGCCGTCGCGTGGCGCGTGGCGGGGGCGTTTGGCAGCTGCCCGCCAGACGAGGGCGAGGGGGCAGGGGAGGGGGAGAGGGAGGTGCCGCAGCAGCAGGAGCAGCAGGGGCAGCAGGAGCAGCAGGAACAGCGGCCAGGGGAGCAGCCTGCCGGTGGAGAGCAGGGAGCGGGGCAGCAGCAGCTGCCTGGGCAGGAGCAGCAGCAACAGGAGCATCAGGAGCTGCAGCAGCAGCAGCAGCAGGGGCTGGGGGAGGCAACCCCGCCGCTAATAAAACCCGAGCCCGGCGTATTGCCAGGCAACGAGGGCGCACAACAGCAGCAGCAGCAGCAACAGCAGCAATCCAAGCCGCAGGAGGCGTATGGGCCGACCGGGGTGTGGGTGGCGGTGCCCAGCGCGCCGCCAGACAAGTACGAGCGGGACGAGTGGCTGGCTGCAGCTGACCATCAGATTGAGCGCAGCTTCAGCAGCGGCGGCAGCTGGGGCATGGGCGGCGGCGGGGGTTCCGGCGCGGCGGGTGCGCCGCCGCTGCCGCCGCTGCAGGCCCCGCGGGCGGCGCCCTTGACGGCAGGGGGAGTCAAGGTGGAGGGCAGCTGGGGTGCTGCAAACGCACTGGGCGCTGCGGCTGCGCTGCCGCCCGTGGCGCCGGCGGCGACTGCCACGGCGGCGCCGGCGTATGGCGGCGGCCTGTTTTCACCCAGCGCTGCCCAATCGTGGGCGCCCGATGGGGTGCCAGGGTTGGTCGGGGGTCTGCCAGGCACACAGGCGCCCGGGCTCCCGGGCATGTATGGGGGCTCAGCAGCGCACGACGCGGGCCTAGGCATGCTTGGGGGCGCTGCAGCTCAGCAGTTCACGGGCCTGCTGCCACCGAGCGTCCTCGGCGGCGGCGGCGGCGGCGCCGGCGCTGGGTTGGATATGCTTGCAGCGCTCCAGCAGCAGCAGCAGCAGCAGCAGCAGCAGCAACAGCAACAGCTGCAACAGCAGCAGCAACATTACGCACGACAGCAGCAGCAACAGTACGCACAACAGCAGCTGCAGCAGCACTTTGTGCAGCAGCAGCAGCAGCAGCACCAGCAGCAGTTTGTGCAGCAGCAGTACGTGCAGCAGCAGCAGCAGCAGCAGCAGCAGCAGCAGTATGCACAGCAGCAGGCACAATTGATGCAGATGCAGATGATGATGCAGTTGCAGCAGCAGCAGCAGCACCATCAACAACAGGGCTTCCAGCAGCCGCAGCTGGGGACCAATGGGGTGCCGCCGATGATGGGCGGGCTTCCCGGTGCGCCCAATGGAGCGCCCTGGCCCCCAGGTTGACGCTTGCATGCCTTCGCATATCGCACAAACTTGTGCTGTGAGGCACGTGTAAATGTTAGGATTGTCCTGTCGGTTGTCTGGGTGGTTGGGTGCCTGCGGTGCCAAGTGCGTAGCCGCGAGACAGAGCTTCGCATTATTCGCCGGCACATTAGGCAAAGCAATAGTCAGTCAGAGCTTGGGCTTTGGGCGCAGGGGCCGCCCACGATGCAGGGCCCGCGTTGTTGATCGTCGTAGAGGGAGGGCCGCCGGCCAGCAGGAGTTGTGGAAGGCGACATGGAGTCACAGTGTTCCTGCGGGTGAGCCTGATGAGCACGACAAGGCCGGCGTTCGCGCTGCACTCCCGCAGCCTGGCTTCCGCGCAGCCTGCTTCTGTGCTTTGCAACGCACGTTTACATGCTGGACAATCACAGAAGCCTGGTGGGCGCTCGATGCCAACATCTCGCCCCACCCGACGACCTCACTGCGCACGTGTTGGCTCACAGGGCTGAGGCGCGGTCGCAGCGCGTGCTGATGGTGCGCCGCCTGCACCCATCCGTGACAATGCCAGCGCTGCTCCAAACGTTTGGCGTCTACGGCGCCGTGACGGGCTGCAAGGTGCGCAGCGATCGGCGCGGCGCGCCCGCACACGCGACCGATCCACCACACAACAATGGCCTGCCGGCTTCCACGCCCGCCGCAGCGGGCGCGCTCGACACCCCGCCAACCCCCCACCGCGCGCCCGCCGCTCCGCCCAGGTCTTCACCCACAAGAGCGGCCGCTCGGCCGGCTGCGCGTCGATCGAGTTTGCGTCGCACCCCGCCGCGTGCGCGGCGCTGCGCGGCCTTGCGGGCGCGGTGCTTCACGGCAAGGCCGTCCAGCTCGACTGGTACGACCCGGCCCACACCTCCTGCCTGACAGCCGCGCCGGCCAGCGGCAGCGGCGGCCCCGGAGCGGCGGCGACGGGCGCGGGCGCTGTGCGCGGCGAGCGTGCCGCGCCGAGGCCTGCCGGTGTGGCGGGGATCAGGGCGGCGGGGCGGCGGGT